AGGTGAACCATGTGGAGTTAGCTGGTCTTCCCAATTTCCAAAGTGTCGTGGGATGATGTTTTTTAAATATGAAGAGGCCAAAACGTAGAGAAGTGGTGAGAATAGTGCTAGAGAGGGAGCTCAAAGCTTTGAAAAGTAAGGATTTTTTTTTAAGATTTTGACCAGAAAAAATGATGTGATTGGCGCATTGCTTTGGGAAAATTAGTGGTGGCTCTTGTGGAAGAAGGATCAAACATACTAAATAAGCTATTGAAATGGTTCAGGCAAGGAGATTAAGGGATGGAGAAAGCATGAAAAACATCACTAGGGTTTTAAGAAAGAGTGGAGGCTGGTGTAATGTGGGCTGAAAGAAGTTTGGTTTAGACGTTTGAGTTTGAGATGCTTATGGACCATGGAAAAGCAATGCAAAGTAGGCTTTTGGACCCATAGAACTGTAGGTTAGGGTAGAGAAGAAAGCTCAGAAGTTTTGTTACCATCAAAAAAGAGCGGATTATCAAAATAGTGAGCAAGGTCCCAGGAGTGTAGACAGGGAAGTCATTGGATAGCTAAACTCTGGGGATGTCATGTTTAGTAAACTAGAGGAGAAAGTTCCTAGGAAAGAACCCAGGAACCTAGCATTTCAAATACCAAGGATAAGGAAGGATTAAATATTAATTTCTTTCCCAAAATATTGATGGAGAAGACTGTCCATCTTTTCTCCTCTTGATTGTATACACGCACAGGGCACAGAGAATTGCATGAGTGAACCCACTCCCTTTATTGCCCCATCTCTCTTGTGTATAAGTTGTGAACCAATTTGAAATGTAGAGCGCTGAACACATCCTGTTGTGAGGGTTTGAAAGGACTTACGGTTGGTGGATTTTTGACTGCCTCCAGGAAGGAAATTTGGGGGTTTTCTTATATCAGTACCAAGTGGTACTCTGATAACATTAACTTGACTGTGAAACTATTAGAGTTCCAGGGGTGTCCAACTGTTTTTCTTTTCTGCTATACATTAGAAGAATAGGAGTCGTCCTGGGTCACACATTGAATACACAAGACACTAACAAAAGCAGAAGAAAAAGTCCACGCATACTTTCCGTGACATGAGACTCCACAGATAAGCAAAATAGTCCTCAA